CCCAGGTGCCCCCTGGACCAGTGCTGCTCAGTTTTGATTCCCTGATGCTTCTTACCCTTCACTCTTACTGACTTTGACCCTGAACTTGAGTGAGGAGGGGACTGAGGTGAAAGAGAAGCTGTGTGAGGAAGAGAAGCTGCCCTGGGATGGGCTCCCTGGGTGCTAATGGGGATATGGGAATATTGGGGTGTCTTTGAGAATGGCAGAGCCTTTCTCAGCTCTTGGTAAGCTTGGTTTTGTGGGCTAAGGTCCCAGAAAACTCAACTCATATAGTTTATTCTGACCCAATTATGAATGGCGGTGAAACTAGTGCCCAGTTGAGACAAGCCACAGTAGGGCGATGTCGACGCCATGGAGGCCGGGCAGTAAATGAGCTTTGCTGCATTAGCAGGTAAGTGCTTTTGATGAGAGGTAATGTCCCTGCTGCTGGAGTTCAATTACCTCTTCATACTGAGCTTGCCTGGATTTCCTATTGGAAAGGCGCCAAGAGCAAAGCCATTAGCGGCCATTTATGAGGGGCTCCCGGATCTGAGCAGCATGGCTAATGATACCGAGTCACTTAGAAGCACTCTTGACCTATTTGTGAGTAAGGACCGCTCACCAGGGAGTCAAGAAAAGCTGGTGGCCCCAGAGAAAACAAACTCAATCGGTAGTCCTCCACCTGTTGGTAAACTGCCACCCAACACATTGTTCATTCTGAATGATTATTTTCTTCACAGTGTCAACTCATGCAGGAAGTTTTAAACTTGCAAAGTCTAGCTTGCAGCATAATAGAGGGCACCATGGTGCCTGGGCTGGGGTGCCTTAGATAAAACTTTATGAGGGATGATCACGCTGAGAGCAGGTATATTATCGAGACATTGTATTACATAATGGCATGCACGGTTTCTAATTAACTTTTAGTAAAGGCGCTTGCAGTGTCTGCTGGAGATAACCTTGTGATAACCTTACCGGACAGTGAAGCAGAACTGAAGGCCTCTGTTGAGCCAGCGCCCCCTGCAGGTAAGAGTTTGACATTTTTTGGCTGGCAGAGCTGGGGTGTTCTCTCCCAGGTCTCCACAGACCATAGGCCTAATGCATTCTTCCCGTAACATTCCAAGTAGGAGATGGCCAACATTTACTGAAATAGCAGAAATGCAGTAGGTATCTAGGAAGTTCAGTATAGTGCATAATCTTTGACTGGTCAGATTGGAAGATCACAATATGATATCGGAGAGGTGGGGTTGCCAGATGCAAGGCCTTGATCTGTGACATCCCACAGAGGCCAGGGAGATTCCACTGAGGAGAGGGAGTGGCATGCAGTGGGAGGCTTGCTTGCTGATGCTGTAGTATTACAGACACAGCTGAGCAGTTCTCAGAATATTCCAGATCAGCTGCTCAAAAAAAGACCAGGGGCCAGGGAGGTGCCGTGGACAAGTACCTGCCATACAAGCATGGGAACCCATGTCAGATCCCTAGAACTGATGGAAAACTGGATGTGGTAGCATGTCTATCATCCCAGCACTCCTGTG